CACAATGAGATTTCTGATTCTGTGTTCTAGAATAAATAAAATGATTACAGTCACAACTTGCATAGCAACAAGAATATATTCTGAGAAATGCATCATTAGGCAATTTCATCATAAGAACATCATAGACTGTACTTACACAAACCGAGATAGAATGTGTGTGTGTGTGTGTATGTGTTGTGTGTGTGTGTGTATTTCTTCTCATATGGAAAACCAAATGTCCCAGCACCAATAATGAATATCAATCATTACCCCAATCAATCTGCAATGTCAATATCAAGTGCTATATAACAGGTTTCTATATATACTCCATTATAATCTAATGGTATTACCATCATATATGTGGTCCATCATTGATCAAAATGTCACTATGCAGTGCATGACTGTATTCCTTCTAAAGGGAGGGTTTTATTGGTGGGTGGGAACTACCTACCAATTCTGACTTCTTATACTAATCTTTCTCTGTCAATTAGATTGTCACATGGTCTTTTAAATTTTTAACCTCAAACATAATTTGTTACCAGAAATTAGAAACACTTTATTTTTTGTTGCTGATGATACAGTGGGGGTGTGACTTCCACTGTCAATAACTAGTTGAATATAAATCAGCAAGGGATTTGAATAGAAAACAGCTACTTTATGTCTTTAAACAATTTACGGTATAAGTCACTGTGACAACTACAATGGAAAAAACAGATTTGCTTTGTTTAGTTCAGGAAGATGATCTTTGCTCGACCATCCAAAACATACAAACACAAAAACAAATCCATTTTATTAAAGATTTAAACATATGACCTGAGACCATAATGCTACAAGAAGCAAACCTAGGGAAGAAACTACAGGACACTGGTCTGGGCAATGAATTTTGGGATTTGACCACAAAAGCTCAAGTAACAAAAACAAAACTAGACAAATGGGATTACATCAAACTAAAATGCTTCCACACAGCAAGGAAAACAATTAACAGAGTGGAGAGAAAGCCTACAGATTGGGAGAAAATATTTGCAAGCCATACTTCTAATAAGAGGTTAATGTCCAAAATATATAAGGAACTCAAACAACTCAATAGCAAGAAGACAAATAACCTGATTAACAAATTGACAAAGGACCTGAATGGACATTTCTTAAATGAAGACACACAAATGGCCAACAGGCATCAGAAAAAATGCTCAACATCACTAATCGCTAGGGACATGCAAATTAAAATCACAATGATATATTACTTCACACCTTTCAGAATGGCTATTATCAAAAAGATGAAAGATGTCAGGACAGGATATGGAGAAAAGGCAACCCTATACATTGTTGGTGGGAATATAAATTAGTACAGCCATTATGGAAAACTGTATGGAGGTTCCTTAGAAAACTAAAAATAGAATTACTATATGATCCAACAATTCCACTTCTGGGTATATATCCAAAGAATTTGAAATCAGTATGTCAAAGATAAATCTGCACTCTCATTTTCATTGCAGGATTTATTACAATAGCCAACTTATGGGATCAACCTAAGTGACCATCAATGGATGAACAGATAAAGAAAATGTGTGGGGAGATCCAAGATGGCCAAATAGGAACAGCTCTGGAGTGCAGTTCCCAGGGATAACAATGCAGAGGGTGAGTGATCACCGCATTTCCAAACGAGTTTTTACTGCCCACAGACCAGGAGATTCCCAGGCCAAAAAGCGCCACGAGTTTCCAGCATGGCTGTTTCAGCCGGGGCCATGGGTTTCCACACAAAAACTCACACAAAATCTGAGTGGCCGTTTCAGCTGGCGCCTGGAACACCTGGGAGACAGAGTGGCCCATTCAACTGAAAAAGAGGGGGCTGAAACAGGGAGCCAGGTGATCTGGCTTGGCGGGTACCTCCCCCACAAAGACCAGCAACCTGAAACGCTCTGGATTCAGAGTTTTGCAGCAAGCGCAGCTGGACCTGGGACAGGCCAGCTCAGTGGGGGGAAGGGCATCTGCCATTACCAAGGCAGTCCACCACGACCAAGGCAATCCGCCATTACCAAGGCAGTCCATCATTACTGAGGAAGTCCTCCATTACCAAGGCAATCCGCCATTACCGAGGCAGTCTGCCATTACCGAGGCAGTCTGCCATTACCGAGGCAGTCCGCCATTACTAAGGCACACCACATACCGAGGCAGTTCTAACTGTACCTCTGTAAACAAAACCGCAAGGAAGTATACACAGCAGCTGGACAGAACCCGTGGCGGCTCAGCAATGCCTCTGCTAGCAGACTCTGACTAGACTACCTCCTTGCTGGGCAGGGCATCACTGAAAAAGGACAGCAACAAGTCAAGAACTTATAAATAAAGCCGTACCTTCCCAGGACAGAGCACCTGGGAAAAGAGGTGGTTATGAGTTCCGCTGCAGCAGACTTAAACGTACCTGCCCAGCAGCTCTGAATGGAACAATGGAGCTCCCAGCACAGCACTTGAGCTCCTATAAGGGACAGACTGTCTCCTCAAGCAGCTCCCCGACCCCCATATATCCAAAGAGACACCTCATAAAGGAGAGCTCAGGCTGACATCTGGCAGGTACCCTTCTGGGATGAAGAGAACAGAAGAAGAAACCGGCAGCAACCCTTACTGAGGGATAACATGGGGAGAAATGCCAGATGTGGGTGATGGGGGGATGGAGGCAGCAAACCACATTGCCATGTATGTACTTATGCAACAATCCTGCATGATCTGCACATGTACCCCAGAACCTAAAGTACAATTATAAAAAAAAATGTGCTATACATACACAATGAAATATTATTTGATCTTCAAAAATAAGGAAAATCTGTCCATTGATGAGCCTGGAGGACATTACGCTAAGTGAAATAAGCCAGGCACAGAAAGACATACTTCATGTTCTCACTTGTATATGGAATCTAAAACAATGGAACCCACAGTAGCAGAGAGTAGAATGGTAGTGATATTTCAAAATTTCATATTCTAAAATAGAGAGTACATTTCAAATATCACTACAAAAAATAAGTTCCATTTTGAGTCATTTTGTGTAAAAAATAATATTTTAGGTGATGAGTTATTTAGCTTGATTTAATTATTCCATATTGTATACATATGACACCACTTTGAACTCGACAAATGTATACAATTTGTTAATATACAATATTATACAAATATAAAAAGATTTTCTAAGCAATGTCAAAAAAACAATTTTATTTCGTATCTACTATGTTTGAATTAGGACATACATGCGTGACCTTTAGGAGTGTGCCTAGCCTTCCCTACA